TAGAGTACGTACATTTTATTAGTCTACCCCCCTTTTTCATAAAAATTAAAATAATTATGTTTTAAATAAAATTAAATATTTACTTAAGGAGTGTGTAGGATAAAGTCAAATTTAAATTTGGTGTATGTTTATAAAGTACGTACTTTGTATAATACCTCCCCCCCTCCCCATCGTACAAAACCGTACATAATAGCAAATCCCCCCCCCCCCCCTTCGGGATGTACGTACTTTTTGAACGGCCCCTTTCCCCAACCACAGGTTCCGTATTTATTCCGCCAGGACGAGTCCACCTGCCGTTCAAGGGGTGTCCAGTCCTTAATGGCTAGATAGTGTAGATAGATTTTATATAAGCTTCGTTTAAAATAAACATAAAGTTAACTAAGACTATATCAATGACTGAAAAAAACGTAAAATTAATTAATACAATATCAACTTGATTTTTATAAGTTACACCCTAAAATATAAGTTATAATAATTTAACTTCCAGCCCTTTTTATAAGTTTAACACTATTACTATAATTTTTTTTTAAATGTAGAACCATAAAAAAGTTGCTTTTTTAATATTTTTAAATTATGTTATTGCTTGTTGAATGCTGGATTACTTCCAGGAATTAGTTCTCACGTGTTTTCTCTCGGAACTGACGTCATCATAGAGATAAAATCACTTCCATAATATAAAAATAACTTTAACTATAAGAATAACATACTGTTATAGGAAAATTGATGCGGTAATAATTTCCGTTTTCTTTTTATTAGGCAAATAAATAGCGTGGTGATTTTCAATGAGAAAATAAATAAAATCTAGAAATATTACTCTGTTAGTAACGCAAACTTATATTATTCTCACCTGATCTAATATTAACATTTGTTATTAAGTTTTTGAGTTGGTTAAATGGTGAAAATTGCAAGCTTAAGACTACGAAATTATATATTTTTTTATTGTATTTAAGTAAATGGGTAATTTTGTTAAATAAACCTGCAATATTATATTACGAACACCGATGCGTCGAAATAGAAACGGGACATTTCATGTTAACCCTTTTTATTTATCTAGTGTCTTATAAACCATTGAAGTTGGATATGCTACTTTGATTTCCTGACATAATAACTTAGCCTAAATGGCTCGCAAATGAACAAACCGTTAAAAAAAGTAGAAAAAAATTTATATAAAAGTGTTATACACAACATTTTACTCCAGTCTCACAGTAACGGTTGCAGTGACAAAATTTTTTTTAAAATTTCGAACGATATTCGAATTCATCGAAACTGAATCGCACAATAAAAAGGAGTTAAAGGTGAAATGTAAGCAACAGTGGTGACGCTGGACAAATATGAAGAAAAAAGAATGTTATTAATTTTCAACGCGTCAACAATTCAGCTCAACTGAACACGCTATGACGTAAGCGAAAGAAGAAGGAAGCACGCCATCTTATTCCTTCCAACTCTGACTAGCGACGCCACTAATGTCACTAAAAATATCGTTCCAATTCCATTTATAGCTTTTTGTTCTTTTTTTTACAAGAATGATCAGATGTTGAACACTTGCGATTTCTCCATAAGATGATGCAGAGAGAATACTAGCTCATGCGCTGTACACACTTATATTCTCACAATTTAGGTGGGGGTGTATTAGAAAATGGTTGAGTTTTGAGTGATCTTCATTGGTGTCAACAAGTTTGTGTTGTTTATAGAATTTAGAAGGATAGTTACGTCTCCGTACAATTTCTTAGGATTATTTATTTTTATTTTTTTGAATCTGTGATAACAAACAATAACGCGTAATTAATACTATCGATATGTTTTATCATAGCATAACATACACAATATAAGTAGTTTAGCCACTATATTTCAGGCTAGGAAATTATGTTTTTTAGTTTATGTAAATTACGTTTATGAATTTATAAGAAAGCAATTTTGGAGTTCAATAGTTGTAAATCCAGTACAATAAATTTGGATTTGGAGTGTTTTGTATAAAAAATCAACTGTAAAAATTCATGTGATGTTATAAGCAAACAATAAAAATAAAATAAATATATTGAAATGAGTATTCTAGAAGTTTAATTAAATAATTGTTTCATTTTATAAAAATGGAACAAATAAAATTATTATAAAAAGTATATTTTAACATGGAACTATCCCGGGAGATGGGATTGCCATAGCATTGTTCCTTTACTTTGGTTGTTATACTTTCTGGTTTCATCTTTATTTTTTATGGTTTTCTCATCTTTCTTTTTCCATTTTCTGTTAGAAACTTTACATTTCTATTTCAAATCACTTTTGTTTCTTTTTATTCACGTCAGGCAAGTCTTGAAAATGGAGCATAAGATGAGTTGAATCTTATGCCTAATTATCTATGACTGAGATCATCTCAGCATCGATAGGTCACGTGCACTCCTTTGACTGTTTCTTCCTGTTTCTACATGATGCTAGAACTGGCGTGAGCTTTACAAGTACACTACATGCAAAACAGCAAGAAATTATTATGACATATACCCAGTTATAGGATCCCAAAGTTTCTCGAAAGTATCCTGTAAAATAAAATAATTAAATGTAATAAAATATGCACATTTCAATCAACTTAGATAATCCCTTCAACCAACTAAGAATTAACAAAAAATCAGTAAAAATATAGAGAGAAAAAGCAAGAGTCTGTTACGTATCTTTTATTGTATCTAACAAAATTTATGCCTTAATTTAACTTATAAAATTTAATATTCATTTTAATTTAGCGGTCTATATCATCGCCTTTTCCTTATGTGAAGTGAATATTTAGGATAAAATGTATTTCCAAACCTATCCTGTTTTTGGATTACCTGTTTGGAGTGACTTTATATACGTATCTAGTCAAACTGTGGGAAAAATACAAACTGAGGTGTTAAGGCTAACCTTTGATGGATCAATAAGTTTCTATTTTTAATTCATGGTTGGTTAAAGATATTTTTGTTTTGATTGATTCTTTACTCTCAACCTAAGATGATTGATTTTAACTTTTAAGATGATTGATTTTTTTTTTGATTGTAAGTTTTTATTGGACAGTAAAAAAAAAAATTCCTGGAGTATAAAGGAGAATCAAATGGGAATGGAAGGAGTGAAAGAAAAATAAAGGGAATTGACTGGATATGAAAAGAGTTGGGTTAGAGAAATATGTAGATATATGAAGAAAAAAAATGTGAAAGTAGAACTGCTGGAGATGAGGTGTGCGTTAAAGCTAATTCAACATAATCTTCAAAGTTTTGAGAATTAAGAATGAAAAAATAAATACCGAACCGAAGCTGACGTCTTCAGGGAGTACCAGCTCCGGAAGCCATAAATGCAAAACCTTTTCCATCGAGAGAGCACGATGAATGTCTAAAATTGCTCTCTCTTTATCCCAAAAGTTTTGCCAAAGTCCAGGAAGAGAATACAATACAAAATATAAAATACATAAAGCAAATAGAAAAGTATAAAATCAAGACTAATACATAAGAATAAAACGCACAAAAACTTACTTGAAAACAAATCCAGTAGCCAAATTGCACTACTGACTGCCAAACAACAACTAAGTTGAAATATTATTGCAGGTTATGGGATTTGTGCGTTTCATTCTTATGCATTAGTCTTGATTTTATACTTTTCCATTTGCTTTATGTATTTTATATTTTGTATTGTATTCTTATCCTGGACTTTGGGCAAAACCTTTGGGGTACAGAGAGAGCAATTTTAGACAGTTGTCCTGCTCTCTCGATGGAAAAGGTTTTGCATTTATGGCTTCCGGAGCTGGCACCCCTGAAGACGTCAGCTTCGGTTCGGTGTTTTTTCATAATTTTCGTTTTTTATTGTTTCAATTCCTTTCAGATTTTCAGCTGCAAAGTGCGTTTGTCCACTGGAAGTATTGTTTTTAATTGCTCCAATTATTTTGAATTTTTTTTTCTTTTAATTATAAGAATTAAGCATTTCTGTGTATATAATATCTATTTAAAAATTTCTATTCATTTGGAGTAAAAAAAAAATATGAACTTCATGCGCATTTCCTTTTCTATTGATTGTTTTAAAATTATATAAATGGTATGTTTTTTGTATAATTTAATCTTGCGCGTAGTTTTTTATTCTTCCACAACTCACGGCAGCGTAGTTATTAAAACGCATATAACCAAGGTTCTAGTAAACAGAGTTATTAAAAATACCGTTTTTTTTTACTGCGCATTTCTCTAAAGGAAGTTCAGATATTTTAATGCGATATTCAGTTATTTTAATGTAGTATTGTTTATTCCATAGATAAATAACGCCCGGTATGGTGGGTTTAGTCTTTACCAATCACGTCATGGACCGGGGTTCTAAATCCTATGCTAGAAACTAGGGGTTGAATGATTTGCACTTTATCCAATGATGCTTAATCGTTTTGTTTCTGTTGGTAATATAATGTGCGTCGTGGTTTCAGAGCTGAAAGAGATTTATTATCTAAGAGCCGAGATGTAATTTATCATTTTATTTACACGATTATATTATTTATGTTTCATGTTTATGATATTTCATTTATGTTTCATACTCATTTTATATATGCGAAGATCCAGTGAACGCATTTCTGTAGTTTTATAGAAACTTTCCGTTTTTTATTTCAAATTAATTTGATAAATAATTTATAGTAGATTCTCATGCGAAAATTTTTGTATTGTGATGTCCGTTAGCCGAAGATAAGTACAAAGTATTTTCCTTTCTCACCTGCACTTATCCTTATTTTAATCTTTCCCCTCTATATATGTTATTTAAAAACCTATGAATGAGATAATCAAATTAAAAACAATCCTCGTACTACATAGTTTATTTTATGTTAGTAAAAAAGAAGCGTTAACTATTAGTCATGAAGTTGGTCTCTTTAGTTTTTCTAAAGAATTTTGAACATTGTATTTTTCACTATTTCATCCGTGTTTTTAATATTATGAGTGTAGTTAAGTTTGAGAAATCTTTAAGAGAAAGAACATTAAGTAATGCGTGAAAATTAGAATCTAGAAAATACTTGTAAAAAGTTCGCAAAGAAATATAAATTGATGCAATACACTTGATGAACTCAATTAGGATTTAATTTTGCTGCCCTATACATTTTATTTTTTTAAAAAAAAGCAAATGAGTACCCGCTGTCTGGGCACTCTATTGGTTTTGGGTTTACTGATAAAGATTAAAAAACTATGTTATCTCCATGATCCGAATATTTCGATTATCCGAAGTAAAATCGAAGTAGTAGATCAGGTCTAAATTACTTAAGATAATCCGTACTCTTCGTATAAATCTCCCAGTTTATCTCAACGCGAAAGATGAATATGTTAATAAGATAAGCAGAAAGAAAATATGTAAAACAAAAAGGGAAACAACTTGAAAATTTTTGATTACAATATTAAAATTTCGCGTGCTAATTTGAAACAGAGTGGGTGCTAATTCATTAGTAGTGATTACTAATTTAGTTATGAAGTCAGATGCGGGAAAATATATTGAAAAAAACTTCAACAACTCTAATAATAGTGCAAAGGAACACTTTACTTCAAATCATGTGTTCATACACACATTAAAGTGTGTAGTTAATTCTAAACACCAATAACTGAGAGCACTACTTACACGAAATTCACTTACAATCACATCATTCGTGAATTATTTTCGTTTTCGAAAAACCAATTTTTTTGTTAGTTAAGATTGCGCTAGTCGATTGCTTACAATCGAATACGAGTTTGTCGATGCTTTGCAAGCCGTTAAATATTTACTGATACAAAAGTTCACAATTACAAAATTTATGCATGTTTTTAGTTGCGTAAAAGAGGTTAATTGCAATTTAGTTTTTAAATGTCTGTCAATTATATTATTTTTATTTTATAACTGTCCTTGAACAGCCGACCCAATTTTGAGTTTACGACTGCTAATATTCGACTCCGTAGTCATGTAATTTTGTACACAATCCAGAAGACTGGATTGGGTTCCTGCAACTCCTGGATAAATTATTGGAAGAAATTTGCCTTCATGGAGAACGTGTTTGATAGAACTAACCCGCATTTGCGTAACATGGAGAGGAAAACCGTGAAAACCTCCCATGGTTAGTCGGACTGAAGGGAACTCTAACCCCTGATCCGTCTGCCACTCAGAATGTTTAACGTCAGTTTGGTTCACAAACTAATTTTATTTCAAAAATGAATAAATGGGTGAATCCTAAATGAATGATTCTTAATATTGTATCGCAAAAATAACTTTATTGAATCTTATGTGCACTATAGTTTACTGTAAATACAAATTTTAGTGTTGCTGAATACCAAAAATTGGTGCAGCTTTCTTACATTATAGTAAAAAGAACATTATTGGTCGTCAACTATTCTTGGTTTTTATTTTTGTGAAGCACCAAGAGTTATTTGTGTGTTTCTCTGTACCTTTTTTGTGTAAAGTAGTAGCCACCATTATTGATGTTAAGATGTACTAAAATTTTTTACTGTGTAGTTTATCTGTAGTTTGAAGCCGATTCAAGCTCCTTTTACTTAAATTGTCATCTGTACATAATTTTTAAAAAAATAATTGTATATTTAATTGTATTCTAGCATTTTTCTGACTTTAAATCAGAGTTGGCCGTTGATTACAGTAATCGATTACAACTGTAATTGATTACAGATAATTACAGCTATGTAATCAATTACTTGTAATCACGATTACAAGTAATCAATTACTTGTAATCGTGATTACAACTTTCAAAAAATTTTGATTACAGCTGTAATCATGATTACAATTTTGATTACAGTAATCAATTACTTGTAANCGTACTACATAGTTTATTTTATGCTGATAAAAATGAAGCGTTAAGCTATTAGTCATGAAGTTGGTCTCTTTAGTTTTGCTAAAGAATTTTGAACATTGTATTTTTCACCATTTCATCCGTGTTTTTAATATTATGAGTGTAGTTAAGTTTGAGAAATCTTTAAGAGAAAGAGCATTAAGTAATGCGTGAAAGATAGAATCTAAAAACGACTTGTTAAAAGCTTGAAAGGAAGTATAAATTTATGAAATACACTTAAAAAAAAATCAATTAAGATTTAATCTTGATGCCCTATACATTTTTTTTAAAAAGCAAATGAATATCCGCTGTCTGGGCATTCTATTGGTTTTGGGTTTACTGATAAAAATAGATTAAAATACTATGTTATCTCCATGATCCGAATATCTCGATTCCCCGAACTAAAATCGAAGTAATAGATCAGGTCCAAATTAGATAATCCGTACTCTTCGTATGAATCTCTCAGTTTATCTCAACGCGAAAGATGAATATGTTAATAAAATAAGGTGAATGAAAATTCGTAAAACAGAAAGCGAAACACTTTTTGATTGCGATATAAAAATTTCACTAGCTAATTTGAAACTGAGTGGGTGCTAATTAATTAGTAATTATTATTAATTTAGTTATGAAGTCAGATACGGGAGAGTATATTGAAAAAAACTTCAACAACTCTAATAATAGTGCAAAGGAACACTTTACTTCAAATCAAGTGTTCATACACACATTAAAATGAGTAGTTTATTCTAAACACCAATCACTGAGAGCACTACTTACATGAAATTCACTTACAATAACATCATTCGTGAATTATTCGAAAAACCAATTTTGTGTTAATTAAGATTGCGCCAGTCGATTGCTTACAATCGAATACGAGTTTGTCGATGTTTTGCACGCCGTTATATATTTACTGAAACAAAAATTCACAATTACAAAATGTATGCATGTTTTTAGTTGTGTAAAAGGTTAATTGCAATTTAATTTTTAAATGTCTGTCAATTATATTATTTTTATTTTATAACTGTCCTTAAACAGCCGACCCGATTTTGAATTTACGACTGCTAATATTCAACTCCTTGCTTTGTAATTTTGAACCCAATTCAGAAGACAAGGAAACTCCTGGATTGGGAGAAATTTTCTTCGTGGAGGACTTTTTGATGGAACTAACCCACATTTGCGTTTCATGAAGAGGAAAACAATGAAAACCTCCCCCGGTTAGCTTGACGGCGAGGCGACTCATGATCCGTCTACCACTGAGGATATTTTACGTCAGCACTATGGTCGGAGCGAGCTGGGTGCGGAATTCGAATCAACAAGTCATCGCTGGGATTAGAACCCGGGATACCTTATAGGGAGGCGAGTGTTCTATCCTTTGATTCACCACGGCTCTGTTAATTATATTAAATAATTTTACTCTATTCAAATTCTATCTGCTTGTGTTTTGTTGATCCTAATTTGAATTCGTCTTAATATTCTTTTTGTATGGCACTTATGTTTGGTTCACAAACTAATTTTATTTTAAAAACTAATATATGTGTGAATCCTAAATGAATAATTCTTACTTTGTAATGTATCGCAAAAATAACTTTACTGAATCTTATGTGCACTGTAATTTACTGTAAATATAAATTTTAGTGTTGCCTAATACCAACAATTGGTACAGCTTTCTTACACTATAGTAAAAAGAACATTATTGGTCGTCAGCTATTCTTGGTTTTTATTTTTGTGAAACACCAAGAGTTATTTGTGTGTTTCACTGTACCTTTTTTTGTGTAAAGTAGTTGCCACCATTATTGGTGTTTAGATGTACTAAAATTTTTTACAGAGTAGTTTATCTTTAGTTCGAAGCCGATTCAAGCTCCAATTACTTCAGTTTTCCTCTGCTTATAATTTAAAAAAAAATAATTGTATATTTAAATGTTTTCTAGCATTTTTCTGACTGTAAATGTAGTTAAATGTGACAACTTTTATATAGCCTTAATTTACATAAAACTAAATGTCAAAATCTATAATATAAAACCTTGCTGTCCTATAATTTTACACAAAGTTTCTTGCCATCAGACTCCACTCCGACAACCTCCAAAAAAAACTGTCCTAGATATCAGAAAGGAAATAACTTGCATTTTGATGTCTAGTGCTTTTTAACACTTTATAGAGCGATTTTTCTACTAATGATATGTTAAAATAATTTTGGGTTTGATATTTTTTCATAAAAGAAAAATTATTAAGCTTATTACCTAAAATTAATTTACTTGAGACTATTTTTTTTGGGTGGAAAAATGTGTGAGATTTTTAAAAATGCACCTACTGTTAAGAATTGGCAATAAACTTGAAAAAATATGCTTTTAAATAACCTAAATTATCAATTCTGTGTTTATGAGTGCAGGTAAACTCAAGGAGAATGCATAAACGCACAATTGAAAATAGCTCCCCAGTTTTGACCTCTCTTCACGACGCTTTACTGTTGCATTGGTATTATTTTTTTTTAATTTTCTGAAATTATCAGCGGATGGCCACACGATGCGAAAATAGCTACTCGATCAATCTCAAAAAACAAATCTAAGTTGGTGGAAAATTTATATCCACGGTCTGTTAACTCAAGCATAAAGATAACTTCATTCTTACCTATTATGGGAGTTTTCAATATACAGAGAAACGCATAAAGAAAGAATCGAGAAGCTAGAGCCATATTTTGATGCTCTTGTTCTATATATTCAAAAATTAGTCCTGGAAATGTTGTGCTAAGTGCTCCGGATACGTAACCAAAGATTATAACTCCAACCATCATCAATGCAAAGTCATTAGTCCATATTATATAGCCAGCATCTAACAGTAATATTAGAAAGCAAGTTAAACTAAAATTCGTTCTTGTCATAAAATGACCATCAGTAATCCAGTTCAGACTCAAATTACCCACAATTTCAGCAAGCGGGATAAACATGGCGAAGTAAACAGACAGTTCGTTGGATATTCCCTTATCTCGAGCATAATCAACTATAATAGTCCAGTTTAGGGTTGTAAGGAATGCGAAAACACTTTGCACAAACATTATGAAATGGAATGTAGGATCTAAGAACACTCGAAAAGATTCCCAGGATAGTTTGTTTTTGCTTTTTGTACTCTCCTTCGGTTGACTAATTTTGTTTGCTAGATCTTTTTCATGCATAAATCCATTTTCATGCTCAGTGTTTTTAACGGAAGGTTTTCTTTCAGTATATCGCACGAGTTGAACATCAGAATCAGGCTTAGATTTCGTCTTTGGTTGAAAATACTGCTGAGTGTCATCTGTTTCTAAGGATTTCGTTGCCATCCGATCGGAATTTTCCTTGTTTTTATTATCTGCCTCTCCATTTACACATATTACATTTTGAACTTTATTTGAAGCATCATTTTTTTGTATTATCAAATGATCTTTCGGTATTTGTTGAGTACTATCAATTTTGTGTTGGTCTTCTTCATCCAATACAAACGCAGGATTTTGATGACACGTGTTTTGATTAGAGAATACAATTGACTCTTTCACAATTCTGCGTTCATTATGTGGATGCTTTAAGAGGATAGCAGCAGGAATGGTATTTAAAAATAGTCCACCCAAAATCAAAAACATTCCTTTCGTACCATATGCACTGTCTAAGTAAGTAATCACCGGTGACATGATTATAGCTCCTACACATGATCCCGTTAGAACAATGCCATTTACGAGATTGATGTGTTGAGTGAAATGAAGCTTTAAAATGGTCTGTATTAGGGTATTACCAAAAGCTAATCCACAGCCTAAAGAGAAAAATTTTTGATTAGTAAGTTAACCAAAAAAATGATTTCAAAATTTTGTACTAATACAGACTGGAATTTAAACAAAACTACAATTGTTTTTTTTTTAAATTTATGTTATAACTGGCCTTAAGTAGCCCAGCTAATTCTGAGTTGACGACTCAAGTCCATAGCCTTGAAATTCTGAACTGAAGGCAAGGGAGACAAGAGAACTCTTGGATCAAGCATTGTGACAAACTAACCCGCTATTGCGTTACTTAGAGAGGAAAAGTTCTACATCAAGATGATTCAAACCCATGATCTGTCTACCATTGAGGATATTTTCCGTCAACACTGTGGTCGGTGCGTGCTGGAAGCAGAATTTGTATCATTCATCTAACGCAGGGATTTTTACCTCACCTCATTCGGGGGGGGGGAGGCAAACCCTCTATCCCCTGAGCTATATCGGCACAAACACTAAAAGTTTAGAACTTCATTACTAAAATCTCTCAGCTGGAAATTTACTTTAAAACGTATTCAACCTAACTCCTTTAATTTCGTTCGAGTCTTATGTCTTTGTGTCAGAAAATTATTACTGGAAATATGATTATTGCTGCTGCTAATTAGAACAGTGCCATTCACGAAATTAATGCGCTCAATGAAAAAAAAGTTTTAAGGGTTTCGGTATTTGGGTGTTATCAAAAGCAGGTTACAAGTCTAAAAAGATAATTTTTAGGTTAGTAAGTTATTCAACAAGTTATATTTTAAGAATTTTAATAAAATACTGGCCGATTTTAAATTAAAATCCCAAGTTTAAAACTGAAAATTCTCTGAAATGGTAATTAAAAAAATTCCACGTAAAGCCTTAAACAAATCGTTTTCAGCCATCTGTCACGTGTAGCAAGCAATATTATTTCTGGAGAGATGGTAATAGCTCCGACACGTGATCCAGTTAAAACATTGCCATTAACTAGGTTAATAGAGTCACATGCTGAACTAGATCAGTGTTTCGCTATTAGTCAATCAATTTTCACTATTCCTATTGGGGGATTCCTATTCCTATCCCAATAGAAACGTATTCCTATTGGTGATTAGTAAAAAAATAAAATATCTTTAAAATGAAAGAACAATAAATAATTAAATATGTCGGAATATTATTTGAATATGATAGTAATCATTAGCGAAATTGTAATTATGAATTGCAAATCAATCCATAAACCACTTTCGAATTCATTAAAGTTGAGAATATTTTTCTTAATAAATACACTGGTGTTCCGTAATTATCATACTTGCTGGAATTTTTTTTATAAAACTTTGTGAGATGTCACAGTTCTCTATTATCTCTATATCTTTATTCTCTTTCTCTATTAGATGTCACAAATCAGTAAGATCAGTATCTTTCTAACACTGATGACCAATTTAGTTGAGGATGAAACATAAAAGGGAATATTTTAATTCTTCCTTTACTTTCTAGGCTTAAGTTTTATTTATTTTCAAAAACAATTAGTTGCATATTGGTCGCTGTCGCTTTTTGGCTGATGATAATTCAATACTGTATGAGTGAAAAGTACAGTGAACAAAATAAAAAATTATATCCTAAATAACTTTTCTTCGAATGATTTGATTTTCACTAACTAACTGCCGATCATAATGGTTCAAAAGGGTTACTTCAAATATGTTGAATAATTAGTGTTAACTATTCATTAAATTATACAATCTGGCCCAAAAAAGCACTGTCTCTGAATAAGCATACCTTACTTTGGACGGATTTGCATTAATTTCCACATGTAGATTATTTAATAAAATTAATTTTTGCGTCTGAAATTGAATGTTGCTATCAATCCAGTTGATAACAGTAAGTAATTCTTGAAAAACAGTATCACTGTAACTCTATAAAACTGTATCACTGTAATTCTATAAAACTGTATCTACTAAGACAAATATGTCGTCAACATGTCTTTCCACCATGAGAATTTGGACAATTTAAATACTTTTTTCCGAAGTAATGCATTAGTATGTCCCAAGGAATGGGAGAGACCTCAAATAGTTTAAAGGATTTGTCTGTGGATTGAAAAGCAATTTTCTAACACAAGAATAGACTAGTGAGATATTTTCAATTTTAATGAAGAGTAATAGAGTTCTTGCAACCGTAGTTTCAAACAATAAATGACATTAGAAATAGGTACAAAACTATTGTACTCTTTCGGATTGCTCTAAACATAATATTTTCAAATTGCGATCGTTTCTATGTCCTATTTAAAGTTCACAAACCTCAACTTTGTTTTAAGACCTATTGTTTCTAACTTTTATACCCCGAGCTATAAAATTGCTCTCTATTAGTTCTCCTTTAACGTCTAACAATATCCATACTGTTAAAAATTCCTATGATTTTGTTTCCCAACACATATTTCACCCTAAAGCAAAATTATGCTCTGTCTTGATGTTTTTTTCTCACTAATGTTCTTATTTCTTGTTCTGACTCTCCTTCTTTAAACTCCGAACTCTACTTTCTCAACTCGCTTTTTGCTAACCGATGATTTAAACCTGCTAAAGTAAAAACAATAAATGCAATGAATTTTTTAATTTACCAATTTTTTCCTTCTTGTTTACTATAGAATTGCTATTATTCTCTCACGTTTTTTATAGTCATTTTTAAGAATGTAAACAAAACAAAATTGAATCTTAAAGATCCTATCAGTATTGAGAATCACTGGGGCCTTTATCATATACCTGCGGCTTTGGTTACACTGGGCAAACCAGACGAGCTTTAAATTTAAAATTAAGGAACACGATACATATTTCCTTTATCAAGAATTCGATAAATCATCGATTGCTGCACATTGTTAGAATATTGGGCACACATTATATTTCGACAGTGCTAGAATTATCCCCCCCCCGTCACATCAGCTGATCTTGATACCCTGGAATCTTGTTTTAATCAATCCAATGCTGATTCCCTTGTTAACTACATTAGTTACTCACTATCTTTCCATAGCGAGTGAAATGCATTTTACCCAAATTTTCCTTGATCGTCTGATCGTCAACATTGTTTCTTCTTGCTGTTTTTTCATTTTTATTTGTTTATTATTTATTTATATATTTTTGATTCACTCTCGCCTACTTCTAGTTTCGTTTTTCACCTTTATTTTCCATTTTTCGTTGGGAACTTTACGTTTTATATTTCAAATTCTTTTTGTTTCTTTTCGTTTACGGTTGGCAAGTCTTGAGAATAGGAGTTGATTTTCGAGAGCTTGTAATATGTCGACTTTTATTTCCATCTGCATATTTTTGAAGCCAGTGAAGAATTTTTATCTAGTAATTTTAGCAATCATTTTATTTATGTTGCTTTATTGAAAGAAATTGTAATGGAACCTTACCGTAGATGAGACCAAGGCAAAAAGTAGCTGCTGTAATATTCTCGGCAAAATAGCAACTACCTACCCCGACAGCACCAAGAATACATCCAGTCAAAGTAATAGCTCGAAATCCAAATGTTTCTCCCAGAAATGCAGTAAAGGGACCTAAAAGAAATAATTGCTGTACCATTTACGAAAAATGCAAGAATTAGTCATTAATAATCATCGTAATAATCTTTGTAAGAAAAAGTTCTAAATTGTGACTTTATTTGAAAGCAGTGTTTTTTCCTTTTATTATTTGCATTACGCCTTTCTGCATTGAAAAGAGGAAATACGAAACTCTTCATAAGCTAATATAGAGAATAAAGTTAAACTACACTAAAAAAAACGAATTAAACTACAAAAAAACAGACAATGATTGAAAGAACGGCTTGAAAAAATTACATTCAAGCTTTTTTAAATGTTGTCAAGCTTATTCATATATCTTTAGCTTTATCTATAACATTAAGTTTATCTTTTTTCAATTGTGTTCATACAACTCGATAAGAAAGGAATTGATTATGCCTAACCATGTGGTTTATATCAGATTTAAATGGATACCAGTAAGCCCGTGTGTTAAACCTGATCGGCTTCTGAATCGAAAAAGGCCACTATTTGCCAACAATGACGTCACTTACAGGCTTCCAATTGAACAATTCTTTTTTAAGAAAATATCACACACACGCAAAAAAAGTTTTAATCTTCACAAAGATTAAGAGGTAGAAAACTATTGATAGTATCTCAAAATTAAGATTAGCTTTGTATGGAACGAAAAGGGACAGCATTTCGAAATATTTCACCATCCATAAGTAAAAGTAATGACTCTTCTAAGCATCTAATTCAAAGTTTTATTCTGTTATACTCACATAATTTTGGTTACATAATTCTGTTACTCGGAGATGACGTTACACATGTTTTTTTTTAAAAATGTTACCAAGCACTACAATATAACCTCAATTTTTACAAATCAATCACTGATTATCATAATAATATAAAAATGAAAATGAAGTATTTTGGTGTGAAGCCGCACCATAACTACTAAAACCCTTATACACTTATTTATAACTCTCGTTTTCTTTTAAAATGGTTTAACCATGCTGTACCTTCTGTTAAAATTGAAGATCCAGTTATTATAAGAAATTACATTTATATACATAGATACCAGAAAGCTTTAAAACCATTTTTTAAGCAACCATAAGATTCTAACAGTTCTATCTGCTCAGATGATTTTTCATACGATGAGATCAGAACTTATGAAAATTCAGGAAATTTTTTTAGAAATTATATTATTTAAACTTCTTCACTTTCTTATCCTGCGTAGTTCAGTTCTTCTTAGCAAATAGTATGTTTCATAATTTCCTCAACGGTTTTCCAACAATACTTCACAAAATCTTCGCCTAAATCAGTCAACTTCAAAACATGTTACAAATAATGTCATCTGCTTTTTTAATTGATCTCGTTGTGCTGCTTTTTAAGTCAACATGTTGAACTATTTCTGATGATCTGATTCCGAAAAGATTAACATAAACAAGGGGAAGAATGCAAGTTATTGAAATAAATCATTCCTTTATCTTACCTGTAAATGTTCGCAAGACACCATACGTGACTATAGGCAGTGATGCCTTTGATCTTTCTGTTTGAAATCCATTTCGAAGAATCACATAGAATATTCCAGCTAAACGCATGGGCAATCCAATGAAAAAGCCTATCATAAAACAAGCTGCCAGTACTAACCAACTGGTTAAACTATTATATCCAAATGTTTTCATTTTAGTGATAATTACTAAATTAACATATATAATCTAGTTTTCATGTGGAAGTAGCTCCACTTTTAGAATAATTAACACTTTTACAATCAAAAACATTAATTAGAACTATAATGCAAAAGATGTTTAAAGACTGCCTCTTCACTCTGGCTTTCATGACTAAGTAGGAAAAAAAAAGATCGATTCACAAGTTAGACAAATACAAATCCTGACATGGCACCTGCTAATTTCCATAAAATACTAAAACCTCGAAATATTACTCTATTCGTGATGCTAATTTTTTTATTACGATGGGAATAAATTCTCACGTAAGTTGTTGTTTCTTTTGTACGAATTATGCACATATTTTCATCATGCATGAGTTGTTTATTACTACTTCTCCAGTACAAAATTGTATTGACTATTGCATTAATGATGCATAAAAAAAAATATTTAACTTAATCACGAAACTCACTGCAATTCGAGTAATAAATGATCGGATGGTGTTAGATAAATATAGAAACAACTCAAATACGTTCTATTGTTTTCGAATTCAATTGATTGCTGGACAATTCAAAAAATGGAAATTTACTAAACAAAAGAACCATTCATTATCATTTATGTATCTTTTAAGATATGTGTAAACAAGGGAAATCACAGTTACAGCATTGAATTAAGTGATTTATAACTCATAATGTGAGATTAACTTAATGAATTTATTCTTTAATTAGAATAAAAGAAGAGGAATCTGGAATAAAATTTGGAAAAACTAGCTATTTATTTCTATTGCAACACTCTGAAATTGCATCGTTAACCCTTAGAAAACTCGGAATATCTTCTACCATGTGAAAAACTCTACCAGCTTCCTTTTCGTGGGATGCAAATTGCGTATGTTAACAAAAAATGGAAATAATTTATAAAGTAAAAACAGTTTATACAGAGAACTGTAAAATTTTATTATGAACTTTAAAGTTTTCTGATATTATATTTCTTAAATTGTGTCGTATAGTTTAAAAACCGTCAATCTCCAAAAGTAAAATTTTTTAAAGAAAACTCATTTTCCGTGACACTTAGACAAAAGGAAAAAAGATCCAAAATTCTTCAATTCAAATTCAAAGGGTTAAGAATTAAAGCAGTGTACTTTAAAATACAACGTAAGGAGGTAAGGGAGCGTGAAGGGCTGACTATTTAGTTTGATGAAAAATTGAAAAATAATTCAGAACTTTAACTACAGATTAAGTCAATTCAGTTTTGTCAAAAATTAATTACAAAAAATGTAATAAGAAATAATAAAATTGAAATATCGTAAATTTATTTTTAAAGATTTTTGTATAAAATCACCTTAAAAAGTTTTTTAATTGAATAATGCATTATTAAGGAAACGCAACTACACTTATGACAAAAAGTTAAGAAGCAAGCACATACTTGCTTAAAATTCAAGAAATAGCGAAACAGATTAGGTCAACTTTTATATGAAAATGCATCAAAGTATATTTACAAAAATTATAAGATGATGCAATTGAATCCTAGATCAAAAATCAATGACAATCTCAGCGAAATAGTCCAAAAATTAACACAGCAAAGTGACAGTTGTGGGGAATCAATAAGGAGTGTAACCTCCTTTGATGATAAAGTAGATCTTACAACAAACTCTGATGCGATTTACGAAATTCTTATTATATCTTGAGATTTTGGTCTCATCACTTGTTTCTCAGACCTCCATTAACGCAGTATTTAGCCCCGCAGATTTCTGAGACGGAGTGGAAAACTGCAAATACTCTGCCAAGAGCACCAGAGACATGATCTATGGTATTCAAATATGGAGATCTGGCTGATCACTCCAAGTTCTGAATATTTTGATCTTCAAGGTATCCTTGTCCAGCCCAGACCTGTGAGTACGCGTGTTGTTATACGCGTTGTTGTGCGCGCGTGTTATTACTGGGGTCCGATAGTGCCTCTGATCAATTTTATAAGGAGTTCTAAGATGTCAGCCCCTATGAGAATTAAAGAAGTTTTTCTGACACAACTCAAGAGAGCCTGTCTGAGTTGGTGTAGGACACAGATGCAGAGGGTCCTTGCTCTGTTCACTGATGAATCCCGATTTGGTCTAATCAATGATTTTCGACATGTTTACGCGTGAAGAGAACTAGCGACCCCGTTCCATCTCTCCATCATCATGGAAATGGACCATTCTGGAGGTTGAGGTGCTAGGTTTTGAATAAGCGTGATCGAGTCAAATATCTAACCCTGATTTCCGCAGAGCATGTCTAGAATGTACTTTGTAGAGTAGATAGTTCACCACTCCCTCCCATAAATCACTAGGGCAAAAAAAACTGCCTTAAGGGACAAGTTGAATGTATCACCCTAAAGCCTTAAATTTATTTTAGCAAATACTTTTTCAACCTCAAGAAATAACTTAAGACTTTATTGTGAGATCAGTATTGTCGTAAGGAAGGGGCCATATAGAAAAAATCTCATATTTATTTTGTTATTGTGTTATTTTGACAATAACTAACATAAATATCGTTGAATTAATTTTATTTCACTGAAATTTCAAGCAAAATAGTTTTCCGTATTCTATAGTTCTAATGAAATCGAATTGTATATTCTGAATTAAAATCTTCAGTTTTATTTTAAAGGCACTGCCAACGCCATCTGCAGATATTACTGAAATTCAAGTAAAGGTACTTTTTCAGTATTCCCCAATCATTATATCTTGAGAAGAATTTTTACCTGTTAATATTTTTGGTCATGATGACAAGTATTTAAATTACATCTTCAGTGAAATCTACATTTACATTATATTCCTAAGGTACTGGAGTATCAGAAGAACCAATAATAACTTGCTTAAATACAACGCATGAAAAAAAACTTGTTTTTTTAAGTATTGTTCCGAAAACTTATTTAAAATAGTTAAAATAAAAGAGCTTTTTGGGGACAACTATGAACTGATGAACAACCTCACCATTACATTTTAATTAGAAAAATGTGTACTTTATTTTATATACTCGAATGTTATTCTCTTCGAAGTAAGATGGAACGTAAAATAACTTTTAACCAAACTATTAAAATATTCCTAATTATTGCAATATGTTTATAATGAACAAAAAGCATAAAATTTAAAGATAATTTTTTTAAAAAATGATAGTTTTTATTTTGAAAACCAGAAAAAAAATTGCCTCAATATTTTATGTATTAAATACGCTTTGTGTGGATATCAAGCAAAAGTAGGAAGTTTTAATTTTCATTACAAAATTGGGTAATAGTATTTTATTCCTTAAAATTCTATATTAATAACTGCTTTCATTACATATAAAGTATTCAAAGTTAAAAATTGTAATTGTTTTTTCGCTAGAAAACAAAAGAAAAGGTTTGAGTTCCTGTAAAAATTCACTGTCTGAGGAGATTTTTTCAAAATCTATGGTAATGATATTCAGTTCTTTCAAAAAATCTGGTCCAAACCACCACAGTTCATAGGAGGCAATTTCCGAAGCATTCAAACCACGAGAAAGGACATCTGCAGGATTTTTATCAGATGCAACGTCATTCCAATGACAGTTCTTAGTTAGTTCTTGTATTACTTTAACTCGATTGCTGATAAAAGTCTTGAGTTGATCAGGTGACCGTTGAAGCCATGCCAACACAATTGTAGAATCTGTCCACAACATTATTTGTTGAATTGGCAAGGTTAGAGACTTAAAATCCTTGTTCAAAAGCTGTGCCAATAAAACACTGGCACACAATTCTAAACGAGGGATCGTGATAGGTTTCACTGGTGAAACACGGGATTTGCTGCACAAAAGTCTCGTATATGATGTTTCTCCCGAAATTGATTTCATGTACAGAACTGCTCCATACGCAACGGCCGATGCATCGGAGAAACCGTGAATCACGATTCCACTCTTCTCCCCCATGTGACGAGGAATTTGCATGTTTTCAGTGGCAGGTAGGGTAGAAACAAAACATTGCCAATCCTTAGCCATTGAATCTGGAAGCGGTTCATCGCATTCCAACCTGAGTATCCAGAGTTTCTGGAGAAACAATTTAGCCTTGGTTAGAATTGGACCAAGAAATCCAAGGGGGTCAAACAAGCGTGAGATGGTGGATAACACCTTTCGTTTGGTGCATGAGTCATGTATATTTACATCAACCTTGGAGGTAAAATAATTTAAATTTGGGTTCCAAATAACCCCAAGGGATTTAATGGTATTTGGTGGCTCACAAAAGAAATCATATGCTTGGTCTTCTAATGGTATGGAATTACGAAAATTTGGAGTACTAGTGCACCACTTGTGTAAGCTCATACCCGCTTTTTTAAACAGGTCTACTAATTGTTCTTGTAGTAATTGAAATTCTCGAAAATCTGAACGTCCTGACAAAATGTTATCCATATACGTGTCTTTAATTATTACAGCAGCGGCTAAGGGAAAACTATCACCCTCATCAATGGCTAGTTGTTTAATAGTTCTGGTTGCTAAGTAGGGTGCACAAGAAGTTCCGTATGTAACAGTGTTAAGTTTGAAAGCTTGCACTGGGCCATTCACGCTGTTCTTCCATAATATCAACTGTAAATTCCGATGATCAGGGTGAATCGAAATTTGTCTAAACATTTTAGAAATGTCAGTAGTGAACACATATGCATGTTGCCTGAATCGCTAAAGTATTGAAAATGAATCTTGCTGTATAGTACCGCCCTTGTACAAAATATCATTTAAAGAAAGACCCGATGTCGTTTTGGAGGAAGCGTTAAATACCACCCTCAACTTAGTGGTTTTACTATCTGGGCGAAGAACACTATGATGAGGTAAAAAATACGAAGCGGTTCTACAACTAATTGCATATGCTACAAGTCAGCATATTCCATTAAGAATGATTTATAAAGTGATTGCAACTCCTCATTTTTCGAGAGTTTTTTCCACAACTGATTTAAACGTATTTCGGCAACTGCTTTAGAATCACCGAGCGAAGCGGGATCCTCTTTCAAAGGCAATTGTACTATGTAACACCCTTCATGATTTCGATAATGAGTATTTTTATATTGAGTTTCGCAGAGCTCAAATTCGACACTATGTTCAGCAGAGTGCTTCTCAACAGTTTCCATATTCCGAAATGCTTGTAGCTATTTATCAAGGCTTTCCGAATTTATATCTGAACTAAGCGTTAATCCACAATATGCTCTATTTGTACTATTATCGGAGCTCCCCACGACAATGTAACCAAATACAGTTTCTTGAAACAACCAATTACTACATGCCGATCGAAGCTGATTTGGCTTTAAAATTTCAAAAAAGAGCTCGCAACCTAGAATTAATTCTACTTCTTTTCGTGCGTTAAACTCTGGATCAGCCAAATTAATATCCGATGGAATCTTCATATTAGATACTTCAACCGGAGTAATTATCGTTAAATTTGGGATCGAAGGAACAGTTAAAAGTNTCATCAATGGCTAGTTGTTTAATAGTTCTGGTTGCTAAGTAGGGTGCACAAGAAGTTCCGTATGTAACAGTGTTAAGTTTGAAGGTTTGCACTGGGTCATTCACGCTATTCTTCCATAATATCAACTGTAAATTTCGATGATCAGGGTGAATCAAAATTTGCCTAAACATTTTAGAAATGTCAGTAGTGAACACATATACATGTTGCCTGAATCGCAAAAGTATTGAAAATAAATCTTGCTGTATAGTACCGCCCTTGTACAAAATATCATTTAAAGAAAGACTGGATGTCGTTTTGGAGGAAGCGTTAAACACCACCCTCAACTTAATGGTTTTACTATCTGGGCGAAGTACACCATGAAGAGGTAAAAAATACGAAGCGGTTTTATCAAGACCTTCTACAACTAATTGCAAATGCTGCAAGTCAGCATATTCCATTAAGAATGATTTATAAAGTGATTGCAACTCCTCATTTTCCGAGAGTTTTTTCCACAACTGATTTAAACGCATTTCGGCAACGGCTTTAGAATCACCGAGCGAAGCGGGATCCTCTTTCAAAGGCAACTGTACTATGTAACGCCCTTCATGATTTCGATAATGAGTATTTTTATATTGAGTTTCGCAGAACTCAAATTCGACACTATGCTCAACAGAGGGCTCCTCAACAGTTTCTATATTCCAAAATGTTTGCAGCTGTTTATCAAGGCTTTCCGAAATTTATATCTGAACTAAGCATTAATTCACAATATGCTCTATTTGTACTATTATCGGAGCTCCCCACGACAATGTAACCAAATACAGTTTCGTGAAACAACCAATTACTACATGCCGATCGAAACTTATTTGGCTTTAAAATTTCAAAAAAGAGCTCGCAACCTAGAATTAATTCTACTTCTTTTCGTGTGTTAAACTCTGGATCAGCCAAATTAATATCCGATGGAATCTTTATATTAGATACTTCAACCGGAGTAATTATCGTTGAATTTGGGATCGAAGGAACAATTAAAAGTTCTAAAGATGTTGAAAAACTCCCACTACTGTTTTTAATTACAGTGGTTACCTTTTGTTTGATATTTACCGAAATATCGCTCATTCCAGAAACAGAAGCATTTATTTATTCCTTTTACTTCCTTACTTAATGTTGAATTAAGTTATTAGCTAATTTTTGTTTACAGAAAGAAAGATGAGATGCGGAATCCAAAATCTCTCTGCATGGATAATAGTTTCCTAATTCATTTCTAATATAAACAACTGCAGTAGGCAAGAGAATATTTTGTTTCTTTTTTGATACTAAATAATTAGAAAAAGTGTTCGAATGTTCTTGTGGGAATGAATCATGCACTTGCGAGACAGTTGTTTGATCGGCGCCTGGCATCGTAGAAACTGAGGAGGTAGGAGGCGGTGAAGAAATCTCATAAATATGCAGTAAAGCGTTATGGCGTTTCTTACAAACAAAGCAGGAATTATTTTATTTATAGTCTTTTACTTTGTGATTATTCTTTAGGCAATTAACACATAAATTTTAACGTTTTATTTCACCAAATCTATCCGAAACCTACATATTTTGAAGAGTGTTGCACTTATAAATCATGTGTAGTAATTTAGAGATTACACAAGAGTTGGGATTATTATTCGAATTCAGGAAAAATTTACTCTAAACACTTATCCAATTCTGGTATTTCATTTGATGCGATCGTTTGTTCAAATTGTGTTCTAGTTTCTCGATCTACCTTTTTCAAAATGATGTTAAGCAAAAGCATGTCAGATAAATTATTACGATCAAAATTTAGAAGCTTTAAAGCTCTGATATTTTTCTTTAAAATATCTACCATGTTTCTAATATCTCCAGCTGATTCATTTGCAAGTTTTTCAATTTCCAAAATTTGATTTACTTAAGTCTCAGTGAGGAGACGTTTATTCTCAAATCTATTTTCTAATGCCTTTCAAAATGACTCAAAAGAATCGTCAACAGTTTCGAGACGGTAGGCGTCACCCAGCAATGACGCTTTCAAATAATGCAGTTTTTGAGAGTCATTTAAATCATTGTTTTTACAAGTAGTTATAATGTTATCAAATTGTGATTTAAAATTGGGCCACTCATCATATTTACCGTGAAATACCGGTAGTGGTATCTCAGGTAGTTTAATTTCTAGTTTTGTTTTCAAATCAGCCTGAGATATTTCATTTTCACATTTAATTATTGAAGGTTTAATTATCAAAGAGTTAAGAATATCTTTAATTCTTACCCCCAAAGCTTCTAGTCAGTCTACTGTTCCTTCTAAATTAGTTTCTATTTCAGTTATCTCTGAGTCACTTATATCTTTTATACCATAATATTGATCCTTCAATTCATCTACTTTTTGATATAATTGTGCAACACACTTAAGCTTCACTTCTAATTCAGTTGGATTATGTTCCTTCGTCTGATCAATGTAAGTTTCTAATTTCGTTATGGTACCTTTGACGGCACGCTTCGATCTATTTAGTTTCTCTTTTTCCATCTCCGGCTATTAAGGCTTACTAATGTTCGATACCAGTTGATTTAATTTCTATGCTGGTTCGTTTGATAACAAATGAATAAAAGAGCTATAGGACTGTATTTGAGATTTTATTATCATTGGTGCTACGAGCACGCTCATGCTATACAACAACCAAATTTCAACTGTGTTACAAGAGACGGTGGAGAGGATGCCAAGACAAAGATGCCAAGTTGGCGCTATATTTCTGAGATATTGAGCAGTCGCTTTGGTGAATGTCCGAAATATTTATTGCATCTGATTTGATATTAATTTATGCGTGGATATAGTTACATTTATTCGATATTTTAATACTTACTGACGATAGATTAGAAGGAGTATCGGGCAAATGTATACCGAGCAGTGGCCTTTGACCTTAAAAAACACCAGTGTAGGGTATACCGGGCAAATGTATACAGGGCAGAGGCCATTGATCTTAAAAAAACATCAGTGTAGGGTATACCGGGCAGTAACCCTTGACCTTAAAAACATCAGTGTAGTGTATACCGGGCAGTGGCCCTTGACCTTAAAAAAACATCAGTGTAGGGTATACCGGGCAGTGGCAATTCTATACTATGAATAATCTTTCTAGATTTTCTTACCTCAACTTCATAAAAATACATGAAGAGATATAAAAAAATATTTCAGACACTATATAAAATTAGTTACGATTTAAAAAAATGTAATCAGAGTATGAAAAATATTATCTTTAGAAACATCAGATTAATTTAAAACTTATTAGAAATGTATATTTAAATCCGAAATTGGTAAATGGCGCCTTCGGTTTAATTTTAAAAATCTAATTGCAGAAAGAATAAGAGCTTATGTGTCTTCAAAAAAGATATTGGAATCGGATTTACTGTATAGTTCGTGCGCCGAAGTGATGCGCAGTAAGTTCTACTTTCCCCACCTTTGAAATAAATGGAATAATCCAGTCTAAATCAGATTTACTGTGAGATTCAGGGGCTACTAATATTTCAAGACTTTTTTATGCATATTTTCCATTTTGGGTTGGTATTGATATTTTCCAGATATTATGTTTGTTTAATACAATATTTACAAAATGTGCTGTAAGAATTTCTTGTAAATTTTTTAAGGGAACCAGATGAAAAGACGTTTGTTTTCGAAATGATATCAAGTGAACCACCGACTTTTTTTCTGCTTTGCTGTGTAAGAAATTCTTACAACACAGATTTTAGATAAGCTTCGTTTAAAATAAACATAAAGTTAACTAAGACTATATCAATGTATGAAATAAACGTAAAATTAGTTAAGACAATATCAACTTGATTTTTATAAGTTACACCCTAAAATATAAGTTAAATTATAAGTTATAATAATTTAACTTCTAACCCTTTTCATAAGTTAAACACTAATACTAAATTTTTTTTAAATGCAAAACCACAAAAAAGTTGCTTTTTTAATATTTTTAAATTATTTTATTGCTCCTTGAATGAGGATTACTTCTAGGAGTTAGTTCTCACGTGTTTTCTCTCGGAACTGACGTCATCATAGTTATAAAATCACTTCCATAATATATAAATAACTTTAACTGTAAAAATAACAGACTGTTGTAGGAAAATTGAATGTGATAATAATTTCCGTTCTCTTTTTATTTGACAAATAAATAGCGTGGTGATTTTCAATGGGAAAATAAATAAAATCTAGAAATATTACTCTGTTAGTAATGCAGAAAAAAAAATTATTTTCTATATTCACTTGCAAACTAATATTTTTCTCACCTGATCTAATATTAACATTTGTTGTTATTAGATTTTTGAGTTGGTTAAATAGTGAAAAGTGCAAGCTTATGACTAAGAAATTATATATTTCTTATTGTATTTAAGTAAATGGGTAATTTTGTTAAATAAACCTGCAATATTATATTACAAACTCCGATGCTTCAAAATAGAAACGTGACATTTGATGTTAACCCTTTTTATTTATCAAGTGTCTTATAACCATTGAAGTTGAATATGCTACTTTGATTTATTGACATATAATAACTTAGCCTAAATGACCCGCAAATGAACAAAGTGTTAAAAAAGTAGAGAAATTTTTTTTTATCAAAGTGTTATACACAACATTTTACAGATAGTTTATACAACAATAATTTTAAAAACGATTATTCAGTCTCACGATAACGGTTGCAGTGACAGCATTTTTTTAAAATTTGGAACGATATTCGAATTCATCGAAACGTGAATAACACAATAAAAGGAGTTAAAAGCGAAATGTAAGCAACAGTGGTGACGCTAGACTGATATGAAGAAAAAAGAATGTTATTAATTTTCAACGCGTCAACAATTCAGCTCAACTGAACACGCTATGACGAAAGCGAAAGAAGAAACATGCCATCTTACCCTTTCATACTCTGTCTAGCGAAGCCACTAATGTCTCTAAAAATATTGTCTCAATTCCATTTATATATATATTTTTTCTTTTACCAAGAATGAGCAAATGTTGAAGGTTTGCTGTATCTCCATAAGATGATGCGAAAATAATGCAGCGCATGCGCCAGTATTGGTGCATGCGCTGTACACACTTATATTATCACAATTTAGGTGGGGGTCAGGGCTCGAAAAAACTCAGAAATTTTACCCGTCCCTGAGGACTGCTTGTCCAACAATGTACCAGTCCTCCTTTGAAACTAACCTGTAGCTTTTAAATAAATAAAAAATATAATTTTCTCTTATTTATACTAACATTTATATAAATTGCACAATGAATTGGTAGTTAGTAGGATTAAAAATACTAGGATTACATTATACAGTAATAAAAGAAATACTAGTTTACTAATAGTAAAATCCAGTATTTCTTTTATGAAATAATTTTTTTTATTAAATAATTTAAATAACAAAGGTCAAGTTATCTGGAATGTCAATTTATCCAAGGGTACTGTGTTTTTTAAATTAATCAAATATGACGTTTACGAGTTCCACAATCAAGCCAATGATTTACAGAGGTTTCTGCACAGAAATCTGAAAGGATTTTTCCATTTAGGTAGATGTTCATAATTGCGTTTAACGCTTGTTGTTTAAGACCAGTACGTAATGTGTTTTTTTGTAAGTTCATTGCTAAAACGCCTCTTTCAACCGCTGCAGTACTGCTAAACAGAGAAAACATCAATTCCACCATGCGCAGTATGTTGCTGTATTTCTAGATTAGAGGGACATTATAGAAGTGAGGCGATAGACTCTTGTAAGATAACAAAAATTGAAAGTGTATCACGAACATTAACAGGAAAATGGCCGTCCGCGCGGACGTCGGATTCCAGAACTTTGTTGTCCGCGGGGAATTTTTGACCGCCGAGGACGGGCGGATTTTCGAGCCCTGGTGGAGGTGTATTAGAAAATGGTTGAGTTTTGAATGATCTCCATTGGTGTCAACAAGACTGTGTTGTTTTTGGAATTTAGAAGGCTAGTTACGTCTCCATAAAATTTTTAGGATTTTTTTTTTATTTCTTTGAATCATGACATAAAATAATGATAACAATCAATAACGTGTAATTAATACAATCAATGTGTTTTATAATAGCATAATCTACACAATATAAGTAGTTTAGACACCCTATTTCAGGCTAATAAATTATGTTTTTTTTTAATTTATAAGAAAACAATTTTGGAGTTCAATAGTTGTAAATAGAGTACAATAAATTTGGAATGTTTTGTATAGAAAAACTGTAAAAATTTATGTGATGTTATAAGGAAACAATAAAAATAAAATAAATATATTGAAATGAGCATTCTAGAAGTTCAATTAAATAATTGTTTCATTTTATAAATATGGAATAAAATTATTACATTTTAACACGGAACTATCCCGGGAGATGGGATATCTTCTTGCCATAGCATTATTCCTTTTACTTTGGTTCTTATACTTTCTAGTTTTGTTTCTCATCTTTATTTTTCTATTTTCTGTTAGCAACTTAACGTTTTCTATTTCAAATCACTTTTGTTTCTTTTTATTCACGTGTGGCAAGTCTTGAAAATGGGCCCCTATTTTTGAAGAGCTTGAAACATGTCGACTGTTATTTACTTCTTATGTATTTTTGAAACGAATGAAGCTTAAAATCGAATAACATATACAGATGGTTTATAATTTTTATCACAAATCGATTTACTCAATTTCTTAAAACCATGGGATTATGTTGTTGAGTTAATTTCATTCAAATGTTATTTATTGGAATTTTTTTCGGTGTTTTTCGGAACTTTTTGTTGATGGTATTCCTTGAATCCATGGCATTCCGATGGCTTTATCACAGTGCGGCTTTGTATACCTGTAACCTACGAAAAAATATTTGTCACTTTCGCAGCATAAGATAAGTTGAATCTTATGCCTAATTATCTATGACTGAGATCATCTCAGCATCGATAGGTCACGTGCACTCCTTCGATTGTTTCTTCCTGTTTCTACATGATGCTAGAACTGGCGTGAGCTTTACAAGTACACAGCATATAAAACAGCAAGAGATGATTATGACATACACCCAGTTATAGGATCCCAAAGTTTCACGAAAGTATCCTGTAAAATAAAATAATTAAATGTTATAAAATATGCATATTTCAATCAACTTAGATAATCCCTTCAACCTATTAAGAATTAACAAAAAATCCGTTAAAATTTAGAAAGAAAAACAAGAGTCTGTTACGTATCTTTTATTGTATATAACTAAATTTATGTTTAAATTTAGTATTTATTTCAGTTCTGCTGTTTATTTCATCACCTTTTCTTTACGTGAAGTGAATATTTAAGATAAAATGTATTTCTAGACCTATCCTGTTTTGGGATTACCTGTTTGGAGAGACTTTATTTATGTATCTAGTCAAACTGTGAGAAAATTACAAATTGAGGTGTTACGGCTAACCTTTGATGAGCGGGTGGATCATAAGCCTCTATTTTTAATTCATGGTTGGTAAACACTAGATTGCTTAAGGATGTCATTTTCACTACTTTTAATTTCGATTAGAAAAACAATGATGCATGCACAATTTCTTAGAATTTTGTACAACATATAATTTTTTTATTGTTATTATTTACTAATAACTTGTTATATAACTGTAAATAATATAAAAATATTTAAAATTAATTTTAAACAAATTTCTTTACACATTATTTATTCTTTTATAATCCCGTCATTTTGACTTCTTTTGAGCAATATAGCTATATACTAAGTTTCAGCCTTTCTAGTGTTAAAGATATTTTTGTTTTAATTGATACTTTACTCTCAACCTAAGATGATTGATTTTAACTTTTAAGGGGGTAAGTTTTTATTGGACAGTAAAAAAAAACAACAAATTCCTGGAGTATAAAATGGAAGGAGTTGAAAAAAATAAGGAGAATCGTCTGGAAATGTAAAGAATTGGGTAAGAGAAATACGTGGATAGGTTGAGAAAAAAATGTGACAGTAGATTTGTGGGAGATGAGGTGTATGCTTAAGCTTATTCAAACATGATCTTTAAAGTTATGGGAATTAAGCATTTTCCTTTTCAATTTCTGTGTATAATATCTATTTAAAAATTTCTATTCATTTGCAGTAAAAAAATTATGAACTTTATGTGCATTTCCTTTTTTATTGATTATTTTAAAATTAAATAAAAGGTATGTTTTTTGCATAATTTAATCTTGCGCGTAGTCCTTTATTCTATCATAACTTACGGCTGCGTATCTCTTTTAAGCTGCGTAAATTATTAAAACGCATATAACCAAGGTTCTTGTAAACACAGTTATTAAAAATACCGTTTTTTTTACTGTACATTTCTCTAAAGGAATATCAGATATTTTAATGCGATATTCAGTTATTTTAATGTAGTATTGTTCATTCCATAAATAAATTACGCCCGGTATGGTGGGTTTAGTCTCTACCAATTACGTCTTTGGCTGCGATTCTATATCCTATGCTAGAAACTAGGGGAAGAGTGATTTGCACTTCCTCCAATAATGCTTAATTGTTTGAATTCTATTCTAATATGATGTGCGTCGTGGTTTCAGAAATGAAAGAGATTTATTATCTAAGAGTCGGGATGTAGTTTATCATTTTATTTACAGGATTATATTATTTATGTTTCTTGTTTATGATATTTTATTTATGTGAAGATCCAGTGAACGTATTTCTGTAGTTTTATCGAAACTTTCAGTTTATTATTTCAAATTAGTTTGATGAATAATTTACGGTAGATTCTCATGCAAAAATTTTGTATAGTGATGTCCGTTAGCCGAAGGTAAGTCCAAAGTATTTTCCTTTCTCACCAGCACTTATTTTTTATTTATTTTTTCCCTTCTATATCTGTTATTTAAAAACCTATGCATGAGATTATCAAATTAAAAACAGTCCTTGTACTGCATGACTATATAGTTCATTTTATGTAAGCAAAAAAGAAACGTTTTATTAATTATGAAGCTGATTTATTTAGTTTTGCTAGAGAAATCTGAACACTGCAATTTTCCCAATTTCATTCGTCTTTATAATATTGTGAGTGTAGTTAGTTAGAGAACTTTTTAAGACTAAGAGCACTAGGTAATGCGTGCAGAAAAAACATGAATTCGTTATAAGATAGAATCCGGAAAAAGACTTGTAAAAAGCTTGCAATGAAGTATAAATTAATGAAATACATCTAAAAAATCAATGAAAACAATTAAGATTTAAATTTGCTGCCCTATACAATTTTTTTCTTAAAAAAACCAAATGAGTACCTGCTGTCGGTTTTGGGTTTACTGATAAAAATAGATTTAAAAAAACTATGTTATGTCCATAATCCGAATATTTTAATTATCGGAAGTAAAATCGAAGTAATAGATCAGGTCCAAACTACTTCAGATAATCCGTACTCTTCGTATAAATCTCGTAGTTTGTCTCAATGCGAAAGATGAATATGTTAATTAAATAAGAAGGAAAATACGGAAAACAAAAAGTGAAACGGCTTGGAAACTTTTTGATTACAATATAAGGCTGTCATTGCTGACCAGGTGGCCTAGTGGTTAGCGTGCCTAACTGCGGAGGCGATGGTTGCGGGTTCGAACCCCACTCAGGGCATGGATGTTTCTTTCTCTCTCTATGTTCTATGTCATTTCTTCTGTGTGAATGTAACCCTGTCTATAAACGGGTTTGTGGTTGCATGATGTGGACGACGCTACTCCACCGCCGCACTGTGGAACAAAAATCATTTTTCGCGGTCAAAAATAAAAAAATGAAGTTATAAGAAGAAGAAAAATCTCAATATGGTTTTTTGTAGTAAAATGTCCAAGAAATATGACGGTGTATTTTGTTTTTTTGGTTTATTAATGGAAATAGCAATTAAATGGAAACAAAGTCGAAATAAAAAAAAATTAAAGTTTTCAGTTACATTTTTATTAATATGGTAACTCCTTATAGTAAATAAAAATATTAAAACTATGCATGATTTATACATAAATGTATTTCTAAGATATATATGAATTCATTATTTTATATAAATACTATTAAAACCAGAGCCATTTTCCTATTTCTGAACTGTACAATGAAATTGCAACTTTAGGGTGCTCTATAAAAAAAAGCCTTACGTTGCCGAGGTAAAAAAAATGTGTACATTTGTTTGGTATATATACTCAAGAACTAAAAAAAATTCGCTGCGAATATTTGCGAATTTGGCTGATATATCGATTTTTACAGTTCGTGTCATTTTTATAATAATGATAAAATTAATGAGAAAATTTTAAAAATAAACTTGAGATTATTATTTTTGTTATAACATTTTCAAAATATTTTATGTCTAGCAAAATAGATTCATCATTTTTTTTAAATTCGATAATCGAATTTGTAATTAACAATCTTAAATATTTTGATTCAATTTATTTAGTTTAAATTTGCTTTGATAAATATTCGCGATTTTACATCCATTACTTTATTTATTAAAATTACTAACCACAAATTTGTAATCAAAGATCTCAAAAACTACTAGTAAATAATTTTTATTTACTTATTTACAATTTTTTCAATAATCATCCCCCATTTTGTTTTTTGAAATTTTGACTTCATATTTGAAATCAGCGACCCTAAAAACCTTTAGGTGATCAATTTATAGAACATTGAAGTTAATTTTCTAATTTTGGCCGCATTTTTCTGATTTTGTCCCACTGTGCGCCGTGGCTTAGCCATAGGTGCCCACTGGGTAACGATAAGAGAGTAGCAATTCTGGCATTTCTGAGGCCATAGGGAAATAGACCCAAGAGCTCGCCATTAATCAAAAATAAATAAATAAATAAAGCTGCCATTTGCTAATTTAGAGCTGAGTCAAATTAATTAGTAATGTTTATTAATTTAGTTATGAAGTCGCAAATGAAAGAGTACACTGAAAAATAAAATTGCTAATAGCTCTTCGAATTAAGCATTCGACGACTCTAATATTAGTGCAACGGAACACTAATTTCAAGTTAACTTCAAATCGAGTGATCATACACTCATTAAAGAGTGTAGTTAATTCTAAACACCAATAACTGAGAATACTTACACGAAATTCACTTACAATCACATCATTCGCGAATTATTTCCGTTTTCGAAAAACCAATTTTGGGTTAAATAAGATTACGCCAGTCGATTGCTTACAATCGAGTACGAATTTGTAGATGTTTTACACGCCGTTAAATATTTACTGAAACGAAAGTTCACAATTACAAAATGTATACATGTCTTTAGTTGTGTAAAAAGGATAATTGCAATTTAATTTTTAAATATCTGTCTATTATTTTTTTATAACCGTCCTTGAGCAGTCGATTGTGAATTTACGACTGTCGACTCCGTAGCGCTGTAATTTTGAATGTAATGCTCGACTCCGTAGCGCTGTAATTTTGAACCCAATCCAGAAAACAAGGAAACTCCTGGATTAAGTAATGGGAGAAATCGCCTTTGTGGAGGATTTTTTGATAGAAGTAACCCGCATTTGCGTTACATGGAGAGGAAAATCATGCAAATGCATCTCCTCCGGTTATCTTGACGGCAAGGATATTTTACGTCAGCACTATGGTCGGAGCGAGCTGGGTACGGAATCCGAATCGACCAGTCATCGCTGTGATTCAAACCCGAACCACCTCATTGGGTGGCGAGTGCCCTATCCCATGAGTCACCACGGCCCTGTAAATCATATTAAATAATTTTATACTATTTAAATAATTCTATATGCTTCTGTTTTGTTGAGCCTAATTTGAATTCGTCTTAATATTCTATCTGTGCGGCGCGTATGTTAGGTTCCCAAACTAATTTTATTCTAAAAATTAATATATGTGTGAATCCTAAATGAATGATCCTTACTTTATATCGCAAAAATAACTTTACTGAATCTTATGTGTACCATAATTTACTGTAAATATAAATTTTAGTGTTGCTGATTACTAAAAATTGGGGCAGCCTTTTTACACTGTAGTAAAAAGAACATTATTGGCGTTTTACAACGCCGTTAACCATTCTCGATTTTTATTTTTGTGAAACGCCAAGAATCAAGAGTTATTTGTGTGTTTCACTACCCACTTTTGTCTAAAATAGTTGCCACCATTACTGTTGTTAAAATGTACTGAATTTTTTTACAGTGTAGTTTATCTGTAATTCGAAGCTGATTCAAGCTTCTTTTACTTCAATTGTCCTTTGCACATAATTTTAAAATTTGTTTACCCAAACACATTTTATGCAAAATAAATAAATAAATGAAAATTTAAAAAAATAATTGTATACTTAAATGTTTTCTAGCTTTTATCTTACTTTAACTGTAGTTAAATATAGCAATTTTCGTATAGCTTTAATTTATATAAAACTAAATGCCGAAATATATAATTTAAAATATTGCAGTTTTTATAATTTCTTGATATCAGACAATACTCCAATTATTATAAAAAACTGTTCTGGATATCAGAAAGGAAATATCTTGCTTTTCGATGTCTAGTGTATTATAACTGATCTGTGAATTAACACTTTATTGGGCCATTTTTCTATTAATGATATGTTAAAATACTTTTGGGTTTGAGATTGTTTTATAAAAGAAAATTCCTTTAGCTTATTACTTAGAATTAATTTTCTTAAGACTATTTTTTTAGGTGATATGTTAAAATGCTTTTGGGTTTGAGATTGTTTTATAAAAGAAAATCCCTTTAGCTTATTACTTAGAATTAATTTACTTAAGACTATTTTTTTGGTAAGAAGGTGAGTGAGATTTTCAGACATGCACCTTTTGTAACGAATTGTCCATATACTTGAACAACTATGCGTATAAATAACCTAATTTAAGAATTTTTCGTTTATAACTGCTAGTAAACTCAAAGAGAATGCATAAACGCACAAAGGAAAATAGCTCCTCAGTTTTGGCCTTTATTCTTGACCCTTTACTGCTACATTGTTTTCTTTTTTAATTTTTCTGAAGTTATCAGCTGATGGCCACACAAGTCAATGATGGGAAAATAGCTACCCGATGAAACTTTAAAAATTAATCTAAGTTGGTGGAAAATTTACTTCAAACGGCCTGTTAAATCAAGCATAAAGATAATTTCATTCTTACCTATTATGGGAGTTTTCAATATACAGAGAAACGCATAAAGAAAGAATCGAGAGGCTAGAGCCATATTTTGTTTCTCTTCTTCAATGTATTCAAAAACTAGTCCTGGAAATGTTGTGCCAACTGCTCCAGATATGTAACCAAAGATCATAACTCCAACCATCATCAATGCAAAGTTATAAGACCAGATTATATAGCCAGCATCTAACAGTAATATTAGAAAACAAGTTAAACTAAAATTCGTTCTTGTCATGAAATGACCATCAGTAATCCAGTTCAGAGTCAAATTACCCAATATTTCAGCAAGCGGGATAAACATGGCGAAGTAAACAGACAGATCGTTGGATATTCCCTTATCTCGAGCATAATCAACTATAATGGTCCAGTTTAGGGTTGTAAGGAATGCGTAAATACTTTGCACAAACATTATGGAATGGAATGTAGGATCTAAGAACAGTCGGAAAGATTTCCAGGATAGTTTGTTTTTGCTTTTTGTGCTCTCCTTCTGTTGACTAATATTGTTTGTCATATCTTTTTCATGCATAAATCCATTTTCATACTCAGTGTTTTTAACGGAAGGTTTTCTTTCAGTATATCGCACGAGTTGAACATCAGAATCAGGCTTAGATTTCGTCTTTTGTTGAAAATACTGCTGAGTGTCATCTGTTTCTAAGGATTTCATTGTTACATGATCGGAATTTTTCTCGTTTTTATTATCTGCCTCTCCATTTACACATATTACATAAACTTTATTTGAAGCATCATGTTTTTGTTGAGTGCTATCAATTTTGTGTTGGTCTTCTTCATCCAATACAAATGCCGGATTTTGATGACACGTGTTTTTTTGATTAGGTGAATCCTTTACCTCTTTCACAATTCTGCGTTCATTATGTGGATGCTTTAAGAGGATTGCAGCGGGAATGGTATTTAAAAAAATTCCACCCAAAATCAAAAACATTCCTTTCGTACCATATGCACTGTCTAAGTAAGTAATCACCGGTGACATGATTATAGCTCCTACACATGATCCCGTTAGAACAATGCCGTTTACGAGATTGATATGCTCGGTGAAATGAAGCTTTAAAATGGTTGGTATCAGGGTATTACCGAAAGCTAGTCCGCAGCCTAAAAAGCAAAATTTTTGATTAGTAAGTTGACCAAAAAAATTATATTAAAATTTTTTACTAATACAGACCGGATTTTAAATAAAACTACAAGTTTTTTTCAGTACTTTATGTTGTGACTGGCCTTCAATCGCCAAGCTAATTCTCAGTTGACGACTACCAATGTTCAACTCCTGAAATTCAGAACTTATGGCAAAGGAGACAATGGAATCCTAGATCAAGCATTGTGACAAATTAGCCTTTCTGGAGGACTTTTTGATGAAACTAACCTGCATTTGCGTTACTGGGAGAGGAAAATCTTTTACGGTTAGTCCAACAGAAAGGGAATTCAAACCCATGATTTGTCTTCCATTAAGGATATTTTACGTCAACACTATTGTCGGTGCGGGCTGGGAGCTGAATTTGTATCATTCAGTCACTGCAAGGATTAGTATCTCACATCATTGGGAGGGGGTGTTGAAGGCAAACCCTCTATCCCCTGAGCTATATCGGCATAAACACTACAAGTTTAGAACTTCATTACTAAAATCTCTCAACTGGAAATTTACTTTAAAAATTATTCAGCCTAACTCCTTGAACGTTTCATTCGAGCTTTTTGTCTTGTGCCAGAATATTATTACTGGAAGCATGATTATTGCCCCTACCAGTTAGAACAGTGCCATTCACGAGGTTAATGCGGTCCATGAAAAAGAAGTTGTAAAGGTTTTTGGTATTTGTATGTCATCAAAAGCTGATTACGTGCCTAAAAAGGTAATTTTTAGGTTAGTAAGTTATTCAACAAGTTGAGGTATATTTTAAGATTTTTAATAAATTACAGGCCGATTTTAAATTAAAATCCCAAATTTAAACTTCATAACTGAAAATTCTCAGCTGAAATGGTAATTAAAAAAATTCCACAAAAATTCACGAATAAATCGTTTTTAACCGACTGTCACGTGTAGTAAGTAATATTATTTCTAGAGACATGATAATAGCTCCCTACACGCGATCCATTGCCATTAACAAGGTTAATGGAGTAACAGGCTGAATCAGATCAATGTTCCGTCAATCAATTTCCACTATTCCTATTGGACGATTCGTAGTCCTATTCCAATAGAAACATTTTCCTATTGGTTGCATCTGTAATTGAGTAATTGTTAATGGATTTTCAGCGGACAGGTAAGAAAAGCAACGTCAGCTTAGGCATAACTATATGCTTGTAAAAATAGGCTTTATAATTATCGTTAATAATGTGCTACCATAAACAAGTCCCAAATCATTCACAAGAGGACACGAATCCTTCACGATTACGCAAATCATTCACTCATTTAAAAAAAAAATACTGCAGTGGGAATGGAATTTAAAAATAAAAAACTTTTCCCAAAATCAATTATATATGTATGCTGTTGTCTTGTTATTTGCGTCCTCTATGAAGGTTGACCATCAAGACATAATTGTTGTACTAACACATCATCCATTAATCAGTAGAATAAGACCATTAACGTGTCCTTCGTAAAATGAAACTTTAAAACTATTGCTTGGATTAAGATGCTACTAAAAGCTAGTCCCGCACCTAAGGATGCAATGTTTGGGGTTAGTGATTTTATTTTGATTTGATTTAAATGGCAGGATGATATAGCACACAGATTTAATACTTTATTACTAAAAGAAATTCCGATTCAAATTTCTAATAATGAGAGACACCTTTATTCTTTCTAAGCCAATAAAAATACTTTAAATAAAAAATGCTGATTTCATTTTATTGAAAAGAAAATTTAAAAAAAATAAATATTGAAAAAAAGAACGTAAATTTTTTATAAAGTAATTTTGATAATTAAATTCTAACTATTTATTAAATACTGTTATTAATAATTATAGTAATTGAAGAAATTAATGAATTTATTTGTGGTAAGTTAAAATCCGAACTGAAACTTCGAAGTTAGCGCATGCGTGCCTCCATTCGAGAGCGTCCCCCAAATACTTCTATATTAGTTGGCTTTACGTACGAGAACTGGATGTAAGATGTTTTGTTTGTCTGCTTGTTAATCATATACCATTGTTAATGTTGTTTTGCCAATAAAATATGTTATTAATTCGTGCTGGTATTATCCTGAACCTCTTAAACAGTGACAATATTTTTATTTTAAGAATAATTGCTAAGAGTTAACAGAAGTTGCCCTTTTCTGTTTCAGTTTTATACGGTAGCTAAAAAGCCAGATTTATAGCCATCAATATTATGTGCGTGAATCATGTTTCATGCATATGAAATTTGAAATGCTTAGAGGTTATTATCAACAATTAAAATTGTCTTGCTGTAATGATGCCAATTGGCAATGCTTTTACTATCTGCAGATTATCTTTTTGGCAGAATTGGAAAGACAATCATTAGCCAAAAAATGGAAAGCTTAAATTATAACGGGTGAGAATTGTTCGTTAGAAATATACTAAGTTATATAAATTAAAAAGAAACTTGTAAAAAGAAATGGAAAAGGTCTTATTCAAGTTAAACATAGAGGCGTATTACTGAATAGTTAAAAACTAAGTATCCTATATAAAATAAATAAATGAATTGATAAAATAAATGAATAAATAGTTCGGAATATTATCTGAATATGACAATAATAATTAGCTAAATTTAAATTATGAATTGTAAACCAATTTCCAGATTTCTCTTTCATTAAAGTTGAGAATATCTTTCTTAATTAGTACACTGGGTTTTCCGTAATTACCATACTTGCTGGAATATTTTATAAAACTCAGTGAGATGTCACAATTCTCTATTATCTTTATCTTTATTCCCTATCTTTATAAGATATCATAAATAAATATCAGTAAGATCGGAAAAGTTTTCTAACTCTGATCAATCACTGAGGTCAAAAGAGCTCGTAAAAAATATAATTTAAAACCAGTTTAGTTGAGGATGAAGCTTAAAGGCGAATATTTTAATTCTTCCTTTATTTTCTAACCCCAACAATAGAAGGCCCAAGAAGGCTTTGGTTTTTTTTTATTTTTTAAACAATTTATTACAGATTCGTCGCCTTTTAACTGATGATAATTCCATACTGTGTGAGTGAAAAGTACAGTGCGCAAAATAAAAAATGTATCCTAAATAACTTTTACGGACATAATAGTCACGATTATAATAGTTCAAAGGGGTCGTGACTTCAAATATGCTAAATATTTAGTGCTAACTATTAATTAAGTTATGCAATCAGGCACAAAAAAGTACTGTCTCTGAATAAGCATACCTTACTTTGGATTATTAAATAAAATTAACTTTTGCGTCTAAAATTGAATGTTGGTATTAATCCAGTTGATAACAGTAAGTAACTTTTGAAATACTGTATAACTGTGACTCTATAAAAACGCCTCTACTAAGACAAACATATCGTCAAAAAAAAAATTTCCACCAAGAGAATTTGAACACTTTAAATGCTTTTTTTCGAAATAATGCATTCATATGTCCCAAAGAATGGGAAAGAGAGACGGAGTTGCCAATGAGTAAACTCCCAAATTGTTTATAGAACTTACCTTTGGAATGAAAAGCAGTTTGTTAAGAACAGGAATTTACAAGGGAGTAATTTGAATAAAAGAGTAATGAAATTCTTCTAACCATAGTTCTGAACAATATATATCGCTAGAAATAGGACAAAGCTCTTGTACTCTTTCAGACTACACTAAACCTAATATTTGCAAATTTTGCTAGTTTCTATGTCCTCCCTAAAGTTCACAAACATCAAATTGTTTTAAGACCTATGGTCTTTAACAGTTATACCCCTGACTATAAAATAGCTCTCTATTTAGCTCATATCATATCTCTTCTAACGTCTAACAATATCCATATAGTTAAAACTTCCTATGATTTTGTTTCCCAACTAACGCATCTTTCACCCTCCAGCAAAACTATACTCTGTCTTGATGTTTTTTTCTCACTAATGTTCCTATTTCTAGTGCTATCGATTGTTTCAAACTACTGTTGCAAGTCTTGATGTTTTTTTCTCACTAATGTCTCTATTTCTAGTGCTATCGATTGTTTAAAACTACTGTTGCAAGTCTTGATGTTTTTTTCTCACTAATGTCCCTATTTCTAGTGCTATCGATTGTTTCAAACTACTGTTGCAAGTCTTGATGTTTTTTTCTCACTAATGTCCCTATTTCCAGTGCTATCGATTGTTTAAAACTACTGTTGCAAAAATTTCACTTCTCTTTTATTGAAGTTGAAGATATTGTCTCCCTTATCAATTTCTATGTTTAGCTAACAGTTTTTCATTTCAATGGTAAATTAACATTTTAATTAAATATAATTAAACATTTTCAGGGTTTAGCCATATATATCCCCCTCTTTATCTTTGTAACATGCTCATGCATTATTTTGAGGAAAGGTTTTTAAGTTGTTTAAAATCTCTCAGAGTTTCAGAAAAGTTTCAGAATTTCTTACTTTTGTTTTCCCCCCTCTTTACCCTTGTTCTGAATCTTCTTCTTTAAATTCCGAAATTTACTTTCTCTATTCGCTTTTTGCTAACTGTGGATTTAAACCTGCTATAGTTGATTCAGCTCTTTCTTATCTCACTAGACCCGAATGTTTCTCATTCTTTTAAAAAAATGCAGGGAACTAATTAATTTACTGTTTTTTTCCCTTCTTGTTTACTGTAAAATTGCTATTATTCTGTTCCGTTTTTTAAAATCATTTTTAAGAATGTAAACAAAATTGAATTAAATCTCTTAAAGATCCCATCATTATTGAGAATCACTGGGCATTAATCACATACCTGCGGCTTCGGTTACATTGGACAAACCAGACGAGCTTCAAATTTAAAATTAAGGAACAAGATACATATTTCCGTTATCAAGAATTCGATAAATCATCGATTGCTGCATATTGTTAGAATGTTGGGCCTAAATTCAATTTTAACAGTGCTAAAATTATTCCCCCCCCCGTCACATTAGCTGATCTTAATACCCTGGAATTTCGTTTTTTTTTTCCCTTTCCTTTCCAATTTAACGCTGATTCTCTTGTTAAGTACATTAGTTACTTAATATCTTTCCTTAGCGCGTGAAGTACATTTTACCCAGATTGGCCCTGATCGATAACATTGTCTTTTCTTGTTGTTTTTCATATTTATTAATGTATTTTTGATTGACTCTCGGCTATTTCAGTTCTTCTAGTTTTGTTTTTCATCTTAATTTTCTATTTTTCGTTGGAAACTTTAAATTTTATATATCAAATTCTTTTTGTTTCTTTTCATTTACGGCTGGCAAGTCTTGAGAATTGGAGTTGATTTTTGAGAGCTTGTTATATGTCGACTTTTATTTTCGTCTGCATATTTTTGACGCCAATGAAGATTTTTTATCTAGCAATTTTATCAATCATTTTATTTATGTTGTCTTATTGAAAGAAATTGTAATGGTACCTTACCGTAAATGAGACCAAGGCAAAGTGTTGCTGTTAAAATGTCCTCGGCAAAATAGCAACTACCTACCCCAACAGCACCAAGAATACATCCAGTCAAAGTAACAGCTCGAAATCCAAATGTTTCTCCCAGAAATGCAGTAAAGGGACCTAAAAGAAATAATTGCTGTACCATTTACGAAAAATGCAAGAATTAGTCATTACAGCCATTGTTATTGTAAGAAAAAAGTTCTAAATTGTGATTTTATTTGAAACCAGTGTTTTTTCCTTTTATTATTTGTATTATGCTTTTATGCTTTGAAAATATGAAATACGAAACTCTTCATAAAGCTAATGTAGTGAATAAAGTTAAACTACACTAAAAAACCGAACTAAACTAAAAAAATCGACAATGATTGAAAGAACGCCAGAGAATTGCACAGATAATATTACAAAAACAGACAACGAATAAAGTTGAACAACTTGAAAAAATTACATTCAAGCTTTTTTTAAATGCTGTTAAGCTTATTTATATATCTTTAGCTTTATCCATAACAATAAGTTCATCTTTTTTTTTTCAATTGAGTTCATACAACTCGATAAGAAGTGAATTGATTATGCCTAACCATGTGGTTTATATCAGATTTAAATGGATACCAGTAAGCCCGTGTGTTAAACCTGATCGGCTTCTGAATCGAAAAATGCCACTATTTGCCAACGATGACGTCACTTACAAGTATCCAATCGAACTAGAGAATTGAACTGAATTAGACAGGCCGACTTATCATCTATTTTTGGTGTAAAAAGCTAACATAAGCACAATGTTAACATAACGTTAACTTGCTAACTTGTTTGCTCCAATATTTCTTGATAGGTCAGCTCTGATAGTATAGCAGCCTTAAATCGAACAATTCTCTTTTAAGAAGATATTACACACACACAAAAAAAAGTTTTAATCTTCACGAAGATTAAAAGGTAGAAAACTATTGATAGTATCTCAAAATTAAGATTAGCTATGTATAGAACGAAAAGGGACAGCATTTCGGGATATTTCACCATCCATAAGTAAAGGCTCTTCTAAGGATCTAATTCAAAGTTTCATTCTGTTATACTCACATCATTTTGGTTGCATAATTCTGTTACTCGGAGATGGCCTTACACATGTTTTTTTAGGAATGTTACCAAGCACTACAATATCATCTCAATTTTTACAAATCTATCACTGATTATCATAATAATATAAAAATGAAAATGACGTATTTTGGTGTGAAGCCGCACCGTAACTACTAAAACCCTTATACACTTATTCATAACTCTAGTTTTCTTTAAAATGGTTTAACCATGCTGTACCTTCTGTTAAAATTGAAGATCCAGTTATTATAAGAAATTACATTTATATAGATATCAGAAAGCTTTAAAAGCATTTTTAAGCAATCATAAGATTCTAACAGTTCTATGCGCTCAGATGATTTTTCATACGATGGGATTAGAACTTATGAAAATTCAGGAAATTTTGTGAGATATTATATTATTTAAGCTTTTGCACTTTCTTATCCTGCTACGGGTAGTTCACTTTTTCTTAGAAAATTGTATGTTTATTTTCCCTCAACGGTTTTCCAACACTACTTCACAAAATGTTCGCCTAAATCAGTCAACTTCAAAACATGTTACAAATAATGTTATCTGCTTTTATAATTGATCTCGTTGTGCTGCTTTTTATTATTGCTGACGTTAGCTTGATTTCTTATGACTTAAATGTCAACACGATTAATTATTTCTGATGACCTGATTCCGAAAAGATTAACATATACAAGGGGAAGAATGCAATTTATTGAAATAATTTTTTTTAAAACTTACCTGTTAATGTTCGCAAGATACCAAATATGACTACAGGCACAGATGCCTTTGATCTTTCTGTTTGAAATCCATTTGTAAGAATCACATAGAATATTCCAGCTAAACGCATGGGCAATGCAACGAAAAAGCCTACCATAAAACAAGCTACCAATACTAACCAACTGGTTAAACTATTATATCCAAATGTTTTCATTTTAGTGATAATTACTGAATTAACATATATAATCTAGTTTTCATGAGGAAGTAGATCCACTTTTACAATAATTACCACTTTTCCAATCAAAAATATTAATTATAAATATAATACAAAAAATGTTTGAACACTGCCTCTTCACTCTGGCTTTCATGACTAAGTAGAAAAAAAAATCGATTCACACGTTAGACAAATACAAATCTTGACACGGCACCTGCTAATTTCCATAAAATACTCAAACCACGAAATATTACTCTATTCGTGATGCTAATTTTTTTTATTACGATGGGAATAAATTCTCACGTAAGTTCTGTTGTTTCTTTTATATGAATTATGCACATATTTTTATCATGCATGCGTTGTTTATTACTACTTCTCCAGTACAAAATTGTATTGACTATTGCATTAATAATGAATAAAAAAAATATATTAACTTAATCACGAAACTCGCTGCAATTCGAGTAATAAATGATCGGATGGTGTTAGATAAATATAGAAACAATTTAAATACGTTCTATTGTTTTCGAATTCAATTGATTGCTTGACGATTCAAAAAATGGAAATTTACTAAACAAAAGGACCATTTATTATCAGTTATGTACCTTTTAAGATATGTGTAAACAAAGGAAATCACAGTTAAAGCATTGAATTAATTGATTTATAACTTAAAATGCGAGATTAACTTTATGAATTTAATCTTTAATTAGAATAAAAGAGGAATCTAGAATAAAATTTCGAAAAACTTGCTAGTTCTTTTTATTGCAGCACTCCCAAATTGCATCGTTAACCCCTGGGAAACTCGGAATATCTTCAACCATGTGAAAAGCTCTACCAGCTTCCTTTTTGTGCAAATTGCGCATGTTAAAAATTCAACAAACAATTAAAATAATTTATAAAGTTAAAACAGTTCATACAGAGAACTGTAAAATATAATTATGAACTTTAAAGTTTTCTGATATTATATTTCTTAAATTGTGTGGTATCACCGTCAATCTCAGAACATAAAATTTTTTAAAGAAAACTCATTTTCCGCAACACTTAGACAAAAGGAGATAAGAACCAAAATTCTTTAATTTATAAATTAAAACAGTGTATTTTAAAACAGAACGTAAGGAGGTAGGGGAAAGTGAATGGCTGACTACTTAGTTTGATGAAAAATTCCTAAATAATTCAGAACTTTAACTACAGGTTAAGTAATTTTGGTTTAAAAAATTAATTATAAGAAATGTAATAAGAAATAATACAATTAAAAAATCGTATATTTATTTTTAAAATCACTTTAAAAAGTTTTTTAATTGAAAACTGCAAGCACATATTTGCGTAAAATTCAAGACATGGCAAACCAGATCAGGTCAACTTTTATATGAAAATGCATCAAAGCATATTAAAACAATAATAACAATAAGATGGTGCAATGAATCCTAGATCAAGAATTAATGACAATCTCAGCAAAATAGTCCAAAAATTAAAACAGCAAAGTGACAGTTGTGGGAAATCAATATGAAGTGTAATCTCCTCTGATGACAATGTTGTTCTTACTCTGAATGCGATTTACGAAATTCTTATTAGATCTTGAGAATTTGGTGTAATCACTTGTTTCTCAGACCTCCATTAATGCAGTATTTAGCCCCGCAGATTTCTGAGACGGAGTGGAAAACTGCAAATACTCTTTCAAGAATATCAGAGACATGATCTCTGGTATTCAAATATGGAGATCCGGCTGACCACTCCAAGTTCTGAATATCTTGATCTTCAAGGTATCCTTGCCCAGCCCAGACCTGTGAGTAAGCGTGTTGTTATACGCGTTGTTGTGAACGCGTGTTATTATTGGGGTCCGATAGTGTCTCTGATCAATTTTATGAAGAGTTCTAAGATCTCAGCCCTTTACCTTAGAGAATTATAGAAGTTTTCCTGGCACACTTCCAGATCGCAAGAGAGCCTGTCTGAGTTGGTGTAGGACACAGATGCAGAGGGTCCATGTTCTATTCACTGATGAATTCCGATTTGGTCTAATCAATGATTTTCGACATGTTTACGTATGAAGAGAACTAGCGACCCTGTTCCATCTCTCCATCGTCATGGAAATGAACCACTCTGGAGGTGGAGGTGTTAGGTTTTTAGATAAGCGTGATAGTGGACGACCACATTGACCTACACATCTTTAAAGAGGTACCTTTACCTGCCTGAAGTAAAAGAATGAGATTTTAGAGCTTAATGTGAAATTGTCAAGATTCACTGTCGGTCTTCAATATATTTTAAAGAATGAGAGTACGCACCCACACAGGGCTGTTCTAGAAAGACCTTGAAGCTGAAGATATTTAAATGATGATTAAATGAGTCAAATCTGACCATGTCTAGAATGTACTTTGTAGAGTAGATAGTTCACCACTCCCTTCCATAAATCACAAAGGCGAAAAAAAATTGCCGTAAGAGAGAAGTTGAATGTATCACCCTAAAACCTTAAATTTATTGTAACGAAACCTTTTTTCAACCGCAAAAATAGCTTAAGACTTCATTGTGAGATCAGCATTGCTGTAAGGAAGGGCCATGTCCAATAAAAAAAAAAATCTCACACGTGTTATTTTGACAATAACTAACATAAATATCGTTGAATTAATTTTATTTCACTGAAATTTCAAGCAAAATAGTTTTCTGCATTCTGTAGTTCTAATGAAATCGAATTGTATTATCTGAATTAAAATCTTCAGTTTTATTTTGAAGGCGCTACCAACGCCATCTGCAGATTTTACTGACAATCAAGTAAAGGTTCTTATTCAGTATTCCCTAATCATAATATCTTGAGAAGAATTTTTACCTGTTAATATTTTTGGTCATGATGAAAATATTTAAATTATATCTTCAGAGAAATCTTCATTTACATTATATTCCTAAGGTACTGAAGTATCAGAAGAACCAATAATAACTTGCTTTAATACAACGCATGTGTATTGTTCCAAAAACTTATTTAAAATAGTTAGAATAGAAAAGCTTCTTGAGGACAACTATGTACATTTTAATTAGAAAAATGTGTACTTCATTTTATATACTCGAACGTTATTCCATATCCGCCAACTTTTACGCATTTGGCGTATAATGTTATTTTTATATTTAAAGTGGTAGTAAATATATACTATTTTTTTTCTTTTATAAGATTAATTTTAAAATGATTTTGATTACCACTATTCTTAAAAAAAGTAAGCATATATATATAAACATGTATTACTATCATGGTTGTCAGCTAAAACTCTTTCAAATACAACGTATTTTTTGCTTACAATTGAAATTCTAATTCCACTTTACTACCACTGGGAAAAATTATAATGGAAGGGATTACAAGTTGGCAGGTATGTTATTCTATTCGAACTAAGACGGAACGTAAAATAACTTATACCCAAATTATTAAAAAATTCCTAATTATTGTAATATGATGCTTAAGATGAATAAAAGGCAAAATATTTAAAAGTAATTTTTTAAAAAATGATAGTTTTTATTTTGTAGACCAGAAAAAAAAAATTACCACAATATTTTATGTCTCAAAAATGAGTTGTGTGGACATCAAGCAAAACGAGACAGTTTTATTTTTCATTATAAAATTGGGTAATAGTCTTTTATTCCATAAAATTCTATACTAATAACTGCTTTCCTTGCATATCAAGTATGCAAAGTTAAAAATTTTAGTTGTTTTTTCGTTAGAAAACAAAAGAAATGATTATTTCCCAAGTTTTAATCATTATTTAAAAACTATTTCTTCTACCAGTTGATTATAAGTATGTAATGTGAAGAATGAAGCTCTTTTCAATAATCGTTTATTCAATAAAACTCTTGAAATAATAGGATATTATGTCTAACAGTTGAATTCTCAGGCCTGAAGTGGTATCTAGTCTAGATCTGAATTTGTTTTTGATGTATATATTATTTAAAATGATTAAAATAAGCTGAATTATGGTTTTTGAAGAACTCCATACCTGCCAACTTTCACTCTTTCCGAGAATGGATTTTCAGAGTGGTTGTAAAACAATAAGCGAAAGACAATCTGACTCAAATATATATTTATATTTTGATCCCGTTGAAATTCGCTTGCGCAAGGATTATTATGCTTTCATATATTTATTGTAATTATTTATATGTAGTGGTGGTCAAACTCATTTATAATTATCATTATAATTCAAAAAGTTAATTGGAATAACCTGAGTATTGCTACCACTTTAAATATGAAAATAAAATCTTCCGGAAAATCCGGAAGAGTTGGCAGGTATGGAACTCTTATAAACGCTGAGAATAATTATTAGAGAAACATACGTAGTTCACTATTTTTAAATTTGGTCATTTTATTTTGAACTTAAAAGGTTGACAAGAAATACTGCTGCAATTTTTTTTAAATAAATTTTGTCATTTTTTACTGACAGTTTAATTAAATAATTTCATAAAAATAACCAAATTTTTAACGAAACTATGTTTAATTGTTTTGGCATACATACAATTACAAATTTCAAGAATCATTCCTGATTTAAAAAGATTAAATTCTCGGAAACCCGGTGGCCCTTCCACGGAACCCCATTTGGTTACCGTTGCTCTAGACACCCTATCTTTTCCTGTAAGTCTTAAAAAGCCTTCCATGGAGATTGTTAGCGTCCACAACTGAAACCTTAAGTTTAGATTTTATGCAAATAAATTAATACAGCTTCAAGAATATTTCTTTAAAGCATGAACAGTATTAAAAAAATTGAACATTTATGATTAAACAGCTCAAAAATTTAGTTTGTGGTTTTTATATCATGTGTATGAAACTGTGTCGAGTTTTAGAGATAAATGAACTCAATGAACTTACCTGTAATAGATCGAAATACACCAAAAATGGCTATAGGCACCGAAGCTGTAGCTCTGTCTATACCATATTCTTTTATAAGAATTACGAAGAATAATCCCGCTAAACGCATAGGCAATGATATTATCAATGTTATGCTTCCACAAGCTATCACAGCTATCCAACTTCTCAATCTGTTATAACCAACTGTTTTCATTTTTCGTAATTTATATCAAATCCTATCATAGGAAAAATTGTATAGCTTTCACAGTAATAAAAAAATAATTCCTATCATATAAACTAAATTTCAATTATAATCTGAATCATCTTTAAATACGAAAGTTATCTTTAAAACTGTCGAATTTAAGCAGTTGTGGGAAATCAATGTGGAGTGTAATCTCCTCTGATGACAATGTCGATCTTATAACAATCTCTGATTCAATTTACGAAATTCTTATTAGATCTTGAGACATTAAGTCTCATTCCAAAAACCTCAATTAATCCATATCTGCCGCCTCGTAGATTTCTGAGAGGGTGTGGAAAACTGTTACTACTCTGCCAAAAACATCAGAGACATGATCTATGGCATTCAAATATGCAGATCTGGAGATCTGGCTTACCACTCCAAGTTCTGAATATCTTCAGCTTTAAAGTATCCTTGCCTATCCCAGACCTGTGAATACGCGAGTTGTTATACGCGTTGTTGTGCGTGCGTGTTATTATTGGCCTTAGAGAATTAAAGAAGTTTTCCTGGCATCTCAAGAGAGCCTGTCTGAGTTGGTGTAAGACACAGATGCAGAGGGTCCATGCTCTATTCACTGATG